ACTATAGACGTCTTTGGCAGCCAATGAGTTAATCATAAAGTTAGCCAGGTTTAGATTCATTAAGAAGATCATTATCTGGAGATGTTTCATTTTTAGACGATGCAAAAACAGCCGTTAGCTCACCGTGTTTGGTCCTGAGCTCCTGCAGGTTCTGGTGCAGGTGCTGACCCAGATCTGGACCAAAGGCTCTAGCCATGTCCTGCAGGCCCATGCTGCAGAGGGCCGGCCCGTCCACGGCGCAGAGCTCCAGGGAAAGCATCCGGGCGTCGAACTTGCTGTTCTCCACCTGGTCGCTAATCCACTCCAGGACCTGATCAGCCGTCCAGAACTGAGGGTTGGTCTGTTTGTACCACTGGCCTGAGAAGGGAAAGCCATGAGTTAGTGTTTTACTGGAGGGTCTTATCCTCCTGAGACCCTGTGTCCTCATAAGAGGACGTTGCATTTTTGTCTCTATTTACCATGATACTTCTTTTTTTCTTTCAGCTTTGACCTCTTGACCTCATAGCGGATGCTATCAGACACTAGTTGAAATCTAAAGTAAAATGGTTTTATACATTTCCATCCAATCATGTTCTTATTGTGTAATAGAAAAACTGTAAATGAGTCAATGGGACTGTCAGAACAAAATTGTAAAAACATTTAATTAAATATGTATCTCATATATCTTTTAAAAAAAAGCTAAAATGCATGCCAAATAAAAGCTCGGGTCTCAGGAGGTTAAGGTGTCCAGTCCTGAACCAAAGCATTTGGAAATATTGGGTCATCACCCTGTTAGGATTTGGCTATAAATACTCACTTTAGCATCGTATGCTATCACATAATCTTTGGTAAGTTACTGATTGTTTTATTTTCTTTTATAACTATATTTTGTGTTAAAGTCTCTGGTTGTTTAGGAGGTTTCTATGTTTCAACACACCTGATTTACATCACAGAGCCATTAGCAGACAAAGCTAAATAATGTCCAAATTTTGGCTATAAATACTCACTTTAGCATAGCATGCTATCACATGATCTATGTAGATTACTGCTTGTTTTATTTTCTTTTATAACTATATTTTGTGTTAAAGTCTCTGTCTGTGTCCACAGACTCTGTTTTCTCTCTTTTTCTTTCTCCGTTGCATTAGATACACGTCTTTAAGTCAAGAAAATGTTGGAGACTGTTAGCATGTGGCTATAATTACTCACTTTAGCATCGTATGCTATCACATGATCTATGTAAATCACTGATTGTTATATTTTCTATTATAACTATATTTTATGTTAAAGTCTCTAGCTGTTAAGGAGGTTTCTATGTTTCAACACACCTGATTCACATCACAGAGCCATTAGCAGACAAAGCTAAATAATGTCCAAATTTTGGCTATAAATACTCACTTAAGCATTGTATGCTATCACATGATCTATGTAGATTACTGATTGTTTTATTTTCTTTTATAACTATATGAAGTCTCTGTCTGTGTCCACAGACTCTCTTTTCTCTCTTTTTCTCTCTCTGTTGCATTAGATCCACCTTTAGGTCAACACACACACACACACACACACACCATTTGTTAGCACATTCCCTTCATCTGCATGAATTAGGACCTGGCCTGTTCGTGCCCAGAGGTAACTGGCCAATAGGACTTGGTTGTGTCCAGTCCTCCTTTGAGGAGGCGGATGGAGCCCAGGAGATAATGCCCATCACCCAGATCTCAGGGCTCTAACCCACTGAGACCCAGAGAGAGGTTTTAGTCTGTCAGAGCCCACTGATACACTTAACTGTGTCCAATAAATGTCATTTTTATACTCTTGATCCACTCTGGTTTATTCTCAGGTTTACAACTAAAGAATCGGGTTAACAACCCCAACCCTTATCTGTTCTCACACATCTGACTACACTAAACCGGCTCAGGATTTGAAGCACACACACAGCTTAATTGAAGGTCTACTGGTGCTAAATCTCCACATCCTGACACTCAGATGTGATCGATCAGAATCAGAATCAGAATCAGAACTATAACCCGGTCTGAGGTCAGACCAGGTCAGACGGAGAGATTACAGCTTTCTACCAGACGGTTCGGCTCCGTTAAACATTGGCCTGCTGGTAAATCATTGAGCCGTCCGTTTCTAAATTAGTTCCTGTTGGAACTATGTTTTTCAACCACTGTGCCTCGGTACACTAGTGTCTAGAAAATCATCCTATTTCACCTAATTGGTCTAAAAAGATTTTTTGATAAGGACTTAATTATCTGCAAATAATATGCCATTTCTGAGTGTGTGTGCTGTTCTAGTGACTGGTGGAGTAATCATGTAATAATTCCTTATGACTAGATTTTGTATATAATTTTGTATATTGAAGTGGACATGTTAAGAGCAATTTGAAAGAAGAAATATAAAATATGATAAAAATACATTTTTGTGTTTAATTGATTCCTATTCAAGACACTTAAGGTAAGATAAGAATAAAATAAGAATAACTATAGTGTTACTATAGGCGGATACAGATATGTTTGACATTTTTGGTTGGTGGTGTACCTCGAGATTTTTTCAATGAAAAAATATACAGTGGTGGAAATAAGTATTTGACCCCTTGCTGATTCTGCAGGTTTGCCCACTTACAAAGAATGCAACGATCTATAACTTTAATCATATGTACATTCTAACAGTGAAAGACGGAATCCCAAAGAAAATTCCAGAAAATCACCTCATATGAATTTATAAAAATTGATAACCATCTGATGAGGAAAAATAAGCATTCTTTGTAAGTGGGCAAACCTGCAAAATCAGCAAGGGCTCAAATACTTATTTCCCCCACTGTACGTCAGTTTTCATAAAGTATTCCACGTTTATAGTGCAGGGAGTAAAAAACATGACACGTTCTGTTCTCCAAATCTGCAAACATGAACACAGTTAAGTTTTAGACTAAACCTAAACTAAAATGTCTTGTTCTGGATTTGAACCTCAGAAGCTAAAGCTCTCATGGTGTCTCCAGCTGTTGTTTTTAACCCCATAATGCCAAATGTATCTTATCTGATTCATACGGTTTCTTAAATGTTTTACGTCTGACTCCTTTTGCATAATTTAATGGTAAAAACTTTGCTCAAAATCCTATTGTACACAATCAGATACACCTGATAACAGGGGGCAGAAGACTACACAAAACATAATCTGGACTTATCGCATAGTAATAAATTATTCATATTAAAAATGTATTTCTGTTTTTTCTTTTTACATATTTTGTTAAAAGGCCAAATAAGGAATTCAAACAAAAAAAAAAACTCATTTTCTGTTTAGTTTTCTTCTTGGTTCAGGCTTTAAAGGGTTCATTTAATGGTAAAAACTTTGCTCAAAATCCTACTGTACACAATCAGATACACCTGATAACTGGTACCTTGGCTCAAAAAAGGTTGAAAAACACTGGGTTAACACACATTAGGATGAGTCTCTTTGTGGGACGAGGATCTGAAGGTTTTGGCTCACCGGGGATGCTGGGGGGGGGGCAGGACCTCCGTTAAGCCGCTCTGGTACATGGTGAGGTTCGCATGGGTCAGGATGCTGCTGAGACACGGGGAAGACATGGAGACCCTGAGGAGAAAAGCACATCTGGTTACCAACATCATCAGGGTTAGTGTAGTGGCACTCTGCGTCCCAAAAGTTTGTCGTACCACCTTTGCAGTTTGTCTAGCAACCAATATCTGAATCACTCGACTGAAACCAAGTCTTCTTTTACGATATTTACTTAAACAACTCAAAAAAGTACACTTGCAGAAAAATAAAATAAATAAAAGGCTCGGTACAGATCGGTCAAAAAATTGTGTTGCTTCCACCGTATCGAACTGCAATCTAAACTTAAACGTGCATACAGGCAATATTATTGTTATGCATTACGTAGTGGAATCCAAATTACCTTTCACAATAAAAGCATCATTATACATCAACTAAATGATATATTCTAGAAAATATACTCATCAAGAATTCCCCAAAAAGTAAATTAAGCATATTTATACATTTTTAATCTAAATTATTATTCTATATGAACTCCCCATTAACTGGCTCTTACAGTTAGCATCTTTATAAGACATTCGGCTTTGAGATGTTTACCTGATTCCAGCTCGATTAAGAAGATACCTGGAAACGACCCGGTCTGGAATCTGGTCTCTGAGAGTTCCTGTTGAGTCCAGACGCACCTTCTCAACTCAACTCAACTCAACTTTGTTTAAAATAGATAAATAAATAAATAAGAAAAAACAAAACCAAGTAACAGAGGGAAATCAAGACGACTAAGATAAAGTCGAAGTCTCACTCAAAGGCCTGAGAGAAAAAGTGGGTCTTTAAAAGGGTTTTGAAAGAGCTGAGTGTAGGGGCCTGTCTGATAGAAAGCCTCCCTTTATGTGTTTGGGAGTGTTATAGGGCACAGCTATAGTTATAGGCTCACGTTAGGGAGTGGGAGGACTCCAGTGGAAAAAAAACAATCAGGGGATTTCCACCTGAGCGTGGCCACGCCCCCCCCCCCCTTTCCTCCACTTTCCTGAGAACTCGATAAACAAAACAAGCCTGTCCGGCTTTTCTGTCTAACGCTTTTCCACCGTCCCTTAGATAGTTACACAAGAGTGGATCAGGTTTCTACCAGTGTGGTTTAACAGTGTCGGTACCTGTCCGTCTGCGGGTCGCTGAGCTTTAACCCTTTAAAGCCAAATGTGTCATATCTGATCCGGTTTCTTTTGGATGTGAGACTTTCTGCATCATTCAGTGGTAAAAGCTTTGCTCAAACCCCTGTTGTACACATTCAGATATACCTGATAACAGCCAGTAGAAGACCACACCAACATAGATTTCTGACTTATTGCACACTAATTTGATCAAAATAATTTCTGTTTTTTTTCTTCATATGTTGTTGAGGGGCCAAAGAAAGACTTCAGACTAAAAAAATCCAATATTCTTCCTGTTTTTCTTGGATCAGGCTTTAAAGGGTTAAGTTCTACATAAAAAAGCCTGGATGGTTAAAAAGCTGATATAAGAAACAGTTAAATAAACCTGTTAAAAAATGATGTTATGTGCTACTGGTTGGTTATAATTAGGTAAGAAAAGAGCACCTTGGAGAGGGTGAGTCTCTAAGAAATAAAAACATTTCAGAGGGTCTGGATTTTTTAACCCTATAAAGCCAAATGTGTCATATCTGATCGGGTTTCTTTT